CGTCCAAGATTTTTCATGAGAATTCCGCGGCGAGCCCGAGCGGCTCGATTCCATTTACGTGTCGTTGCGCTCATCAATGTGATTGCTGTTCTGTTTATTTTCAGACTTGTTTTTTTATTATTCACGTTTGTTTCGATATTGTCTTTCATTCTATATCGCGTTGTGCGCTATGCATGTTGTATTTGGACGCAATGCTCGTCGAAGTGACACGAAAAACGATCGCGCAAAAACGAAGTGGCGCTATACGTGCCTCGAAATCAGAAACAGAAATTTATTTTTCTAGAGAATTCCAATGATAAAAAAGTCAGCTCAAAACAGAAAGTGTTTCTCAATCTTTCTTTTTTTAATTTATGATTGGTTTTATATATCTTTGTCGTCTGTAAAAAAGTAAGAAAAATTAGAGAAAGAAGCAGTTATAGAGATGTATTAAAATAAAACATTTTTCTAGATTTTGGAAAGAAGTTCGAGTTTGCGTAAAAATATTGATAAACAAGTGCTAAGTTTGATTACTATAGTGACTAATTAATTGTCAATTAGAGTGAGAGGAGCAAAGATCGTTCTTTAGAACAACAAATTATTTTTATGAGCTTTTAACTATATTAGATAAACATTTACGAACGTGATGAAGAAATTAGTCAGTTTCTTAGACGATAAAGAAAGAAGACGATTTACAAGAGAGAGTTGTTCGGAAGAAAGATAAAGATAAATATTGTTAGAAACAAAAAAAAAAAAATATCTAGGTTAATATTCTCTCAGGCAAAAAAGGCAAGCTGACTTGAAAAATCTTCTAATCTATTATTAAATTTTCCAACAGTTTTTTGTATATCAACAATCACAATATAAGATGTCTAATAATAACTTACTTTTTTTGAGATACAAATATTTTTCAATATTTTACCTCACATTTATTGTGTTTTTTTTCAAAAAGTATTTTGCATTTTAATTTTTCCAACATGTCACTAAAATGTTAGTTGTAATTTTCACATAAAAAAGTCACGATAAAAATTGTCGGATGACCTGTAGACCTTGGTCTGCACTTTCGAGTATTTAAATATTTTATACATTGTTTTTCATTTGTCTGAAGATGTTCGCTGAATATTTTTTCGCTTTCACTCGCTTATCATTAATAATTATTAATAAACGCGAATATATATATTGACCAGAGCATATATTTCACTTTTAGTAAAAAAGCGCTCGCGACTTCTTGAATATTAAATACAATATATTTATATATATGTATATGTATATACATGTACAGTCGGAAACAAAAGTAAGTAAATAGATAGTGAAAATGGTTGTCAAGTTTAATCAAAATAATACTATTGTTGTATATTAAAATTTTATTTGTTATATATCTTTATAGCACACATATAGATTATTTAATAAATAATTGAAATTAATATTTATAGNTTTGTACAAGTAAATTGCGTTTAACTAAAAAAGTCAGTCAATTGTCAAAAGACGCAAAAGTAAATAAACACTTGCTTATTCAGAACCGAAAAATGTTTATAAACACCGAACGTAATTTTTCTCTTACTAGCACAACACAGGCGCGCGCTACCCGCACGCTATTGTTATTTTTATTTAACGTATTGTCAGTGAACATAACCTGTCACCGCGATGACAGATAGTATATACGTTTGTATATATATATATACCCTAATCACGTGACCGAAGTTAGTAACACCGCCGCGGTCGCGCGACCGAAGTCATTGACCCCGCCAAGGCCGCGCGGCCGAGGTCAGTGACCCCGCCAAGGCCGCGCGGCCGAGGTCAGTGCCCCGCCAAGGCCGCGCGGCGGAGGTCAACAAACAAACAAAATGAAAAGTATTTATTTTACGGTAATGTAGAAAATTTGAGACATTGTGAACGAAAACGATGTATAATCACCACACACGATGATTGTCAAATTGTTTATGAGTGATGAGAGGCGATGACTGCATCGCGAAAAATTTTAGAAATATTAGAATCAAACGTGACAGCGAAAGCTATAAAATAAATAAAGATTATACAAAGTTAATTAAAATGCTGTATGACTAGATGCAAATTGTACACATTAATAAAAGCAGCATGAAGAAACATCTAGCTTTTACTAAAAACTACATAAACAAGCCAATGTCATTTTAGAAAACTATGGAGCGATAAAACCAAATTTGAGTTTTGAAAATTAAAAAAGAAGCATTAANTCTAAACAAAGCGTAAAGTATCCAAAAAAACAATTTATTACACTACAATAAAAGTTGATCGTGGATTACTGATAATGTAGAGATGTTCCTCGTAATATGNAAGATGTTGTAGTACCTATAGAGATAAAATTATGAATGCAAACAATTGATTGATATAATAAATGAAAATTGAGAAGAGACAGTGTTAAAAATGAGCCTTGACAAAAAAATTTCTTTTACAGCAAGACAACGACCTTTCAGACACAAAAAATGTTTTGAGAATTCAAATAGTAAATTACTTGAATAACCATCACAGAATTTGAATCCCATAGAGAATTTATGAAATTTATTAGATGCTAAAGTTCCATTAGATAAAGCAGAATACTAGGACCGATTTTTTAAAAGTTATACTCAACATTTGAAAGTATTAGACAAAGACATTATATCAAAAACTTAAAAAGACAGAGTGTACCATGGCGTTTAGAAACAGTAATTCAAGCAAAAGACGGTAACGCTAGAGATTAATTTTTAATTTATTATGTGTTTTAATATTACGTATTTTAATATATCATTAACTTTTGTTTCTCTGTAATTGACTGACTTATTTGTTAAACACAATTTACAGAAATGTAAGTATTAATTGTTCACTAAATAAACACAATTTATATACAAAAATGCAGATATTAATTTCAAGTATTTACTTAATATAATCCATGTCTACCATAAGAATATGCATTAAATAAAATTTAAATATATAACAATAGTAACTATTTTGATTAAATTTAATTGATAATCATTTTCACTATTTATCCATTTACTTTTTTTTGTCCCCGACTATATATATACATATATAAAAAACAAAGCTCAGAATACTTGGACCCGATGATTTTTGTGATCGCAGACAACAATGTTGCCTGTGGNGGTAACGGCGACGCCCTCGAGAGGGTTAAACTCGCCACTGCCTCCNCAGCTGATGGATTTGAGGAAGGCGCCCTCCGGACTGAAGATCTGTATTCGNTTGTTGCCGGAGTCGGCGACGATAATATAGCCCTGGTCATCCACAGCGACGCCACGCGGAAACTTGAACTGGCCCTCGTCCGTGCCCTCGGCGCCGAAGAACGTCAGCACGCGGCCGTTGACATCGAATATCTGCACGCGATGATTTTTTCCGTCACTGACGATCACCCGGTTCGTGTTGCTCACCGCGATGTAGTGCGGCCTCTCTAATTGGCCGCGCCCGCTACCGCACGATCCGAATTTGCCCACGAATGTGCCGTCCGATTGAAATACCTGCGAACGGTATTCCGAGGCGGTCAGATAGCGGTCAGTGCGGCGATGTAGCTGTAGAATGTGGCGCTTTTAACAATCGCGCTCGGCCAACCGAACGAACCGAGAGATACGTTAAACTACCTAGTTTTCGCCGCCACATGATCGGTTATACGTTTAACCAAAACGTTTCATGCTCTCGATAATTCGTTAGCGTTTAATCGCGCGTTTGCGGTTTTTTAAGAAAAAAAATTTTTTTTATGAAAAATAAATATATTTGTGCTATATATATATGTGTGTGTTCACCGACTGTAGATCTTATGATGAGGCGCGCACCTGTACGCGATGATTATTCTTGTCGCACACGTAGATGAAGCCGAGAGCGTCGGTGGCGATACCACAAGGATAATTGAAGCGGCCGTCGGCGGTGCCTTGGGAGCCAAAGGCTCGCAGAAATCGGCCGGACGGATCGAACACCTGGATTCTGTGGTTGTAGAAGTCCGCGATGATGTACTGGCCGATCCTGTTCACGGCCACCCCGCCGAGGCAGTCGAACTTGCCTTCGCCACTGCCCAACGTTCCAAACTCCTTCATGAAGTTCCCATTATTGTCGAATACCTGCGGCCCCGGCGTTGCAAGGTCGTTTATATTGATCGTGCACTGATATTAAAATCGGCTCGCGGAGCCGAACGGTCGCAATAACGACAAGGAATTTTTATTTCTCGTCCTTGTTAGCGCACAAAACGAACCCGGTTCATTTTACGATCTCCAATACCATAACGGGACGTACAACATTCTTGGGGACTTCTGCCTTACGCGCACATAAAAGTCGATTATTGCTAATTTTAGACGATTTCGCTGATTTGTATTCAACATTAACATTGACATTGACTTTTGTATGTGTGTGTGTGTGTATTTTAAACATCTTGGACTGATTGTCTCTCACGCACAACAAAACAATCCATTTTTTTTCTAGAGATTTACTAGTTTTTTATATAATTATTAATACACAAGTTTTTTTTATAGACTTTTTCTTTTAGTATCAACTTTATCAGGTTTTGGAAAATTCTTAACTGTTGCTAGAGTTTATTTCAGCAACAATTCAAATCGTTCTACTTGATGCAATATCGAAACGTAATCCAGTTTGAGGAGCAATTCCCGGGGACTTGAGAAAGTGGCTTACTTGAACACGATGGTTAGAGCTGTCGGCCACGACGATGGAGTTGTCCGGACCGACTGCAAGGCCTGTCGGCCAGGTAAAGCATCCGGCTTCGCTCCCCCGCATCCCGAACTCAAACAGCTGCCGCCGCTTCAGCAAGTAATGACTCCTCCGACCATTGCTGGAACCGATTAACGAGGCGATCAATAAAGCTCATTACGCGGAATTCCCAATTCGCTCTCGATTATAGATCTCCACCAAGAGTTCTCTCTCTCTCTCTCTCTCTCTTTCTCTCTGTCGGTTACGTGAAAGACATACCCTCTCCCCTCCCACGCGCGCGGACGTTTACGTGATAAATGTACAGTTATTCTTCATCCGAGACAACCACGTAGAAACATCCCTCTATTGGGTTAGTAAAAGTTTGCGGAGAACGAACGTAAACCGGAGGGAAAACAGCAGCAGCAAACTCGGATATAGTGGACTCTGTATCTTCATTGCGCGCTCCGCGCGCTGTTCTTAAAAGAATGTTTTTCGTAAATCCACTTTTCAAGGAGAACGATGTTTTACTCTTTACCCGGAAACAACGGTAGATCTCGGAGAATTACTAGCTTTGCGCGCGCGAGAAGTTCCCCTGAACCGACGCAACCGGATAAACGAAGATAAAGTGCTTTGATTGCGATGAAACGACGGCGACTCCATCTCCGAACGGACTTTTCCTACGTTCGAGTGCGCTAGTCCGCAACGCGTATTTAGAAAGTCATACATTCTTTCTCTAACAAAGCGCATCGTGCGTCTTATACTTTGGGAGCCGCGAAACTTGATTTTCTTTTCTCGAGAAAAATTTCACTGGTGTTGAACAAGAAGTAGAGAAGCAGAAACGTTCGTATACAGTTATGATTTTTTCTCTATCTCAATGGAATTTTTCAAGTCTGTATCTAAAAAAAAAATTTACACATTTTTGTAAAGAGAATGAAGAAAAAATCAAGATTCTGGAGTGAAATTTTTTTCGAGCTTAATTAAAAGCAATGTGACCGAAAGTTTCCTTTTAAATATGATATTTGCGCGCGCTTTCGTGTAACACAAAAGTAAGTGACGAAAGTTTGTTCTCATTTATGCTAATACCGCGAGATGAAGGTTACTTTTATTTTTTCTTACAGAAACAACATTATCGTATCAAAACAACTTTAGAATTTTTTTCGCATACGTAATGACTTCTTGAAAAGTATCAAAAATTTACCAATTGTTGTTGTTGTTTTTTGTTTGTTAATAAAACAATCTACATATAAATTGCTTTTTAAAATTCTGAAAAATCTTTTTTTTATGACGCAAAAAAAAATTACTTTGGCGCAAAAAATTTCGAATTTCGACCAGCACGTTCAATTACATCGACAAAGTGACAAACACAAAGACTTACCTAGTGGAGGAACCTGCTGCCGCGGGTATAACGGGAGCTGCTGTAGGGGACGTGGGGGAGCCTGACGGGTTTTTTTGGTCGTCGTCAGAAGATTCAAAGGATGTTTGTCCGGTATGCCTAAGAGGCAGGCCCAGCGATAATCTTCTCGAAGTCGCGCTGGTGCTAAACAAAAATGACAATTTTACATGTTTCAATCGACACGTTGCACAATTGCATCAATCAGTTAGATGTTGCATATNTGTTTGTTAATTGTTTGAACAATTTCTTTTATTGCAAGACAATATAACGCTTTGAAACACACTCTGGTATAAACCCGCATACTGATGTAACACCCGCTTTAGTACACATTTGATGCGCAAGTAATTCATCTGNATGTACGTATCGGTTTAATTACGCGCATAAATGTTTTAAACTATTTGCGCACACAACAATGCGATTACAATATATAATTGCATAGAACATTATTTGCAATGAGGTTTGTGCGCTCATTACATAATACGGAAACGTTATAATAATAGATAATTAGTTAATATATTTATCAGGTGAAAATATGTCGCGTTTAGAAGTAGCGACAATTTCGAAATTGACAAATTATTTTTCCGTCTAATTCTATGTATGTGTGTACGTGTCACAAATTTGATAAAAGACACTCTTTTTTGTTGATTAAAGATTAAAACACCTCACCTGGATGACGGTATCGTGGATGTTGCGGAGGGCGGTTCTTTGTCTTTGGTGGTGCGATTGCCATATTTGTTTTTCAGGTACCTGGCCCACGANCTGAGAGCCGCGCCATCTTTTTCCGTACCCGGGCGATCGCGTTCCGGGCTTGGTTCCCTCGACTTTAGGGCGTGGGTGCTNCGGCTTCGCGCTAATTCGGAACCGGCGCCATACTTGGCCGCCAGATAGGCGTTCGGCGACTGGGTTGTTGGCGACGGCGGCTCCTCGTCCAAGTCGAGGTCGTCGCCACCGAAGTTGTGCGAACTCCTGGAGCGAGCCAGACGCTGTCGACGCTCCTTTAGAGCCGCGTAGCGAGATCTCGCCGACAATGGCGAATCCACTTCTGCCTCCGCATCCCTCTCGCGTTCGCGCTCGCGTTCCCGCTCGCGTTCCCGCTCGCGTTCCCGCTCACGTTCCCGCTCACGTTCCCGCTCGCGGGAAGCCATCATCGCCGCTTGGCTTCTGCTCTTGTTCAGGAACCTGCAACATCCATCAAGAACATCCTTTCCAGTTTGTTTGTGGCAAGAGATTGTTTATGTGTTTTTATGCTAATACTACACAAAATGAAGCTACTTTTTCTTGCAGAAATAAGGTCATTAGCACGTCAAAATATTTTTAAAACTACATCGTTCATTTCGCAATGACGTTCAGAAAAATATTACAAAATTAGCAATTTCTTTTTTTTTTTAATGTTAATTTGTATGTACTTTACATACAAATTACTTTGTATAATTTGCGCGGCTTTTCACATTTTTCTATATATATGATGCGAGATTATTTCTGCACAAAGTAATTTCGTCCTACAGATCTAATCCAACAATTACGTCGACAAGTGACAAGTAATTACAAGATGCAACAGGATAATTAAGCAGCAATGAGAAAGAGCAGAATGAATCTTATCTTNGTTTACGTTATGTAATTATTCTACGATGATATGTATCGACTTACTACAGAGAAGCATAATAGGCGTCGTTGTTAATGTAAGACAAAAATTATAACAACAATGAAAATCTAACAATGAAAATATTTCACTTTCCATCGTCTATTAACTAAGTAAGATATTTTTGTTAATGCGTCCTGAAGACTTTGAACTTGGAGACTTTACTACCCAACTTTATTATCCAAAGTCCTTTCGAATTTTTTGCTATATCAAATATTACGTTTTTGTTCTTCGCATTTTATTCTCGATATATTTCCGAGCTATTTTCCAAGCGCGTTTGACTCTCCTCTTCGATCTGGACCGCGATTTCAAGCTGAATTCGAGGATTTCAGGTAATTGCACACCCTAAGCGCGTTTAAGGGTCCGCGAGAGTGCCTTGACCTCGGCGCGCACGCCGAAAGACGATACCTTTTCCGAGCGAGTGGTATTCACTCTGCGGTTGTATTTTCGAGCGAGACTTTGCATCGGGCTATTTTGGTGCATGCGTGCCGGGAACGCGTGCAGGCTGCGCGTTGCAAGTATAGACGAACGATATCGTGTAACGAAAACACTTATCGACGAACACGGGCAGACAATGCGCGCATATTCTATATATATATAGCATATAGTTTCTATTTTAAGAACTTTTCAGTCACACATCTACGAGGCAAAAAATGATAAAAAAAAACCGCTTTATGTATACCGCATTCGTTAACTGTGTTAATTGCGTCTATATTGGTGATACATTAAATTTTATCGTACATGTGCAAGCATGACCGTCGCGTTGTTATTTCAATGTCAAACAGAAAATGCCTAATTTCTCGCGGTTGTAAAATTAATTTTATAACACTACAGTTGAGCCAACATGCTATATTGATTTTGTAACAATAATAATAATAATAATAATAATAATACCAACGTACATATATTTGACAATTGCACAAAATTGTAATATGCTAAGCTCATTTTATGTTTTTCCGAAGAAAATCCGATTTACAATAAACGCTATTGCGCGTATTACGCACTGCACATTATATAATTTTAAACGGCAAAATAATATATTTGGCGTCTCGCAAATTGCATCCGCTAATGAGTTTCGAGAGAGAGAGAGAGAGAGAGAGAGAGAGAGAGAGAGAGAGAGAGAATAATACGTAATAACAAGATTAAGGAGCTAACTGCTTTTCACACACACACACACGTACACACATACACACACACACACACACACACGATAGTAGACTTTGTGTCGGTGCTGTCTTGTTTATGGGATTAAGCTCACATGAGGGCGCGATTTGCATTTGATTGCCCGCAAATCTAACCGTTATACGCGTTACGACGCAATTTTCGCGTCTCGAGAAATTGGTGTTACGNAGGAGATGTTNCATCTACGCGAAACAGATAGAGAAGATAGACAAATTTTTCACGTTACGTCTGTCTTTAAACTGACTTGGATATCTCGCGGTTTTTGTACAATAGCGCAAAGCATACAAACGAATAAACGAAGGCACACAGATATTAAATGTGATGTACTGAGATTAAAGCCTTTTTTAAATTAAGTCATAGA